TGTACGAACTTAACGATGACACCAACGGAATATGCTTCTCCTGCCCTTTCTCTTTGTGATTCTCCATGACGAAACTTGAGTTTCTCGTGTAGTCTTTACGTATTACTACATTGGGCGAAGGAACAGAATATCTTGCATCTGTGCAGAGACGAGCATTCTATTAACTATGCGCTCAACAGACTCATTTTCATTTCATTTGGGAAACCGAAAAATGGCAAACTTCATGAGGAATCTTGTTAATCTTTGAAGCTTTTCTACAGGCCTCTCGTCTAGGTTTTTTGGCTGGTGAAGAATAAAAATAGACGGTGTTCTCTGATGTGTTTGATTTTCAGCATAATAAGTGGTTTTCCATATCATACTATTTATGCACATTTCCTCACATTTGTCTAAGATGTACGGCCGAATATTTGGGAAGCATTGCTCTTGCAACATGTTGTGCACCTCCCACCAATGACACAATTCGTTCAACTTGATTACTTCCGCACGATATAATTTATCAGAATGATTGTCATCTGATAGAGACAACATAGATGTTAAGCTTACATTTGAGCTTTTATTCAAAGGAGGACTCGTAACATCACCACTTTTTGATGAGACCTGTTGGAAGTTTGCATACGTACACGCTTTCTTTTCCTTAGAATAGACGGAATCGTCTATAATGCCGCCATCTTCTATCGGATGTACTTTTCTATTACGGCAAAACAGTCTGAATCTCTTAAAACAGTTCTTTCTATAAGAAGAAATTGAAATTTGTTCTTATATTTCAATAAACAAATTGTAAATTTGATGATAGTTTGGAAACAAAAATTTGATATTTGATTACTGGATGTTTATACTCTACAAGATCAATATTTGATTAAGATTATATGTATATACATATGTATTCTTGTCTATGTGCTATTCCTCGAGCCTATCTGTAGACACAAAATGCCTTTCAGTTGCTGCTATTACTAATGTTTCCCGACAGTTGTTTTAGCTGACAGAAGGCAGCTAGTGTGAAATTTGTAGCGTGTGTAAATAGTCCTTTCGGTATTTGATAAAAGCCATAAACAAATTGTTGATAACTTTATTATGAAATAGAGAAGCCACCAATAAAATTTCTAAAATAGCTAAGACAATTATCAAGTTTCGGTTATAAAACGATGAATTCAATTTCGGCGCAGCACCTTACTAAAGGAGACAAGTGGTTTCGGATAAATGGAAACAAATAATCTCCATCGGATTCGATTGAAGGTTGTTAATGAAGCCAACAACAAGGCTGATCTGCCAAAGAGGTTGTCTCCCGGAGGAGTTTTTATGGGAAATATTCTCCTACTTACATATTATAAACACTAAGGAATCCCGGAGAATTTCACCAGATTAGCCGAAACCCCACGACTAACTATCTATTGGTTTTTAATCTTTTTTACCATGAAACATCGGAAGAGAAGAGTTAAAATTAAAAATATTTTCATTTAAACTTACTTTAAAATGAAAGAAAACATTTCTCTTTTTAAATTGCCTAACCAAAAATAAAATCGCATTCGATCGCTAGAAAGAACTAACCACAAGATCGTTTAGTTTAATTGTTAACTAGCAATTGTTGAAGGATCACTACGTCATTTGCCTTTAAAATTGCATACACAAGGCGAAAAGAAGGCATTTTTATGTGTCAATCGCTGGTTCTGTCAGAATTAACCAAATTTATGTAACAAATGTAACGTTTTAGCGATTTTATTTTGTTGGCTTAAACGGTAATTTAGTTTAAACGAATACATTCAAGTTTTTATCTGAAGAATAGAAGTCGTTAAATTAAATTGTTTTCATTTCTCTTGCGGCCACTCACACAGACACAAAGAGAAACTAATTTTGACAAAATAAACCCACAGATTAAACGAACAACGTCTTGCTGGTTACATTCCAAGTCAATATCTATCGGTTCGGGCGGCGGCGCTGGGTTTTCTTAGTCTCTCTACACAATCCTCATCGTTCGACACCAGTCTTTGGGCTTTTCTGATTCCTTTTAAATGTTTCTCTCCAATGAGATACGTTTCTTCCATTTACGTTTGTATGACTCGCAAACTTATCGACTTATAAGTTTACAAATTCTATTTTATCAGTTATTATTACTAAATAATATTGTAGACTATCGTTTTGAGTACAAATCAACACCAATTTCGATGTCCCATCTCTTCGTCAACGCTGCATCGGCGTTTAGGCAGTGACGAACGTAAACCTTCTACCCAACAAAATATAAATCGTTAGATTATAATTTATAGTTTACGAGATATAAGTGCGACAAGTCATTTGCCATTTGTTTGATTGCTCTGGTTTTCGTAGACGCCCTTTAATTAACGAACCGAATTTAAAGACGTGTTTCGATCAAAAAAGAGTGAGAACAGCAGACGGATTCCACGGTATTTGCGGACTAGCTGACTTTTTCTGCTAAAAATCTTATTTCCCGACTTTCTAGGTCTGTACGGACTCTGCACATTTGCTGTCCCAGTACTCACATATTCTTTTGGAGTTATACATAGGTCTCACGCATATCTTGAACAACTCCAACAGAAAACAAGAACACTTACTAAGCATAATCATCATCATCCTAAATCTGCCATAGAAAGATGAACCCTTCCATGTAAAGATGGTGGATGTATTAAATTAAATTAATTAAAATATCTATAACCGTGAGGCAGATTTCTTCATAACGTTGCATGGTAACGTGACGAACAGGGTGCAAAAACAGTAGCACAACAGAGTTGCAGGTTCAGACATTTCTACAAGATGCAGTGAGCGGTTACAAAGGAGGTGTGTTATCTTACACATCTGGAGCACAAGTGGTGACAACATATGATGCAGCCAGATGTCATTGTTAATTTTATCAATTTCATCCTTTATCTATTTTTGTATCAGCACCCAGTTCGTTACATTACTATGCAACGTTATGAAGAAATGTTACTCCTGTCTACATTGATAATGCTTACTGCTCATACAGTCATGGCGATGTTTTCATCTTTATATTGTATAGCTTTAGGCATAGTTTTAAGTTTTAAATTTATTTTTTTCACCTTGTATAATTTTTTTAAGTATACTAAAACCTCTTGTTAATACCAACTGATGAGGGACTATTTTTCTATTGGAAATAGTCCGAAATGCATTTTGGATTTTTCAGTTTCTATACTTATGTAATAATCTTATTGTACACCTCCTTTTTGTTTTATTAAATGTTTTTACTTTGATTCTTGAGCATTTGTGCCCATTATCATTGGTGTGATAAGCTCTTACTATTATCTGCATCACGGTTATAGATATTTTAATTAATTTAATTATACTTAGGGCTAAAAGCAATTTCTGTAATAATAATGGTTGATGTAGCCTGATTGACATAGCAAACCTTCACTACAAACAAATAAAGACACTGTTTTTCTACAAAAAACAAGAAACATCACAGTTACATAAAGCAGTAACTCTAGCAGACTCAAATAACACACCATTAAACTTACATCCACGTCATATGGACACGACACAATATGTAAAAAGCATAGACACCATTAAGCAATCATGGGCTCAAAAGGCACTCCATGGCATCCCTATAACCTGACTCAGGATTTTGTTGACAAAACTGCATCAAACAGCTGGTTAGATCAGGGATGCCTCTTTGAGGAGACAGAAGGGTTCACAGGATCAGGTCATAAATACTAAAAACTACAGAAAACACATACTCAAAGATACAACATTCACAAACGACACATGCAGAAAATGTCACATCATGCCAGTTATACAGCACATCACTTCTGGTTGCAAGCTCTTGGCACAGACAGATTATTTACATAGACATAATCAAGTTGCAAATATATACACCAAGAGCTTGCAAACAAACATAAATTATTAGACATCCACAAACCATACTACAAATACATTCCACAGACAGTATTGGAAAACAACACTCACAAAATGTATTACGACAGAGCCATAATCACAGATAAAACAATTTACCACAATAGACCAGACATCATACTCATTGACAAACACAATAAAATCACATACATTATAGACATATCCACTCCAAACACTTGCAATGTACAAAACACATGCAGTGAAAAAATCAGCAAGTACACACAACTCGCCCAGGAAATAAGGCATCTGTGGAGGATGGATAGGGTGCTTATTGTAGCTGTCATTCTCTCCTGTACAGATGATACCACACACACTACACAAAAGCCTGGAAACATTACAATTGAATAGAAACACATACATCAACTACAGAAGGCCACTATATTGAATACATGCCACATTGTTAGGAAATTCCTGAATACAGACTAACACGCTTATTTAATTTTTGTTTCTCGTTGCTATGCCTTGACTCTGGTCCGGCATAGTACACAGCCACCAGTATCAATCACTAAATACTGTATAATAATGTATCATTAATAATTGTACTATAAAAGAAAAAAATGCTAATTTTTTAATTTTCACAATATAAAATTTAATATTAATTGATATTAAATTAAATGTTTAAATTATTTTGAAATTTAAAAAAATTTTAAACTTCTATATAGTTAAAAAAACTTATTTCACAACATGTTTGCTCTTCATTCTTTACCTATATAAAAAAAACAAACTGACAACTATATAAAACTCACATTAATATGAAAAAAATTATTTCAATCTGATCCACAACAAACAATGAACTTAGTACAAATTACAAATTGTAGAATTGTTACTGATAAATTATAATTATGGTATATTTTTGAAGTGTTATAGTATTTTGGAATAATTTATTCTATATTTTACTTAAACTCGGAATCATGGAATGCAATAGTTATCTAATATGATTAGTTCAGCTTAGTCTATATGGCTCTTGTGCCTAAAAACATTAGTTGATTTAATACTATTTAGTATTAAATTTCTTTAATTCAAAAATAATAGTATTGCAATAAATATATAAGTTTTTATGAAATAATTCCATCAAACTAAAGAAAATAACCAACATCTATTCATTCTGATAGTATTATTTAGTAATTTAAAGGTAACAAACTATCAGAGGTAAAATTTTTATTAAAAAATGTGTGATATGAATCTAACAAGTACATTTTCTAGTTCTTCAGTCAGAGTGAAAATTTTATTAAATGGCAATTTCAATAATACAGAAATCAATAATTTTCATGAAATGATATTCATGAAGAGTATTGACAGATTCATATACTGTAGGACTCAATTTTGTTATACAATTGATTTTATTAAATCATAAATAAATTTCTTAATTTCAATATTGAAATAGAACTGATAGAGTATATTTTTACTATATGTCCATACATCCTAGAAGTGTTACAGTATTTCTAAGATAAAAAACTATTATAAAATTTTCTTTTACTTTAATTTTTTTCATGCCATCTCTTACGCCTTGAAAAAGATGTTAATAAGCCATGACGTTCTTGATAAGGATTATATGGATCATCTACATAATACCTTGGTCTTTTCCAATATGCAGATACCATTTTATCCAGTATTTTGCAATGTTCGGCATTGCAAAACACATGCCGACGAAGTCTATATCTTCTTCCAGCTGATTTTTTATGTAAACGTTTAGCACGTCCAGATTTGGGTCTTATCCAATATCCAGAATTTAGTCGAAGAAATCGACGTTTAACAGCTTTCACTGTTTTTCTCTTTCCTTTCACTAATGAATATTTAGTAACATTTCTCAATATTTGCATATCATATTTTCTTGGTTGTAAAAAACTTGACATGTAGGGGATAAGAGAGCTATTTTAAAAGAAATAGGAAATATTAAAATAAAGAATTATAAACTGTTAGTACATTAGAAATACTTAATTTTAGAAATATATTTTTGAATATTAAGTTACAAATATTATTTAATTTATATAATAATACTGGCAATATTAAAATTAAAATTGGTATTATGCAATTGAAAGCTTTCAAATCAGCCATAGATTTTAATAAAATACAAAAATTATATAAATATTTATATAGAAAGAAAGAGAATTATTAAATACCATGTTATAATGTTGTAAATAATTGTTTTTTAGTTTTATTAGGAATAAATTTAAGAATCAAATCATAAACGAGCTATTATTTATTGTGACATTGTCACAATTCTGGGCTGCAATTTTTATCATATTTTAAATTTATAATATATGCTCTCTGCCTGTAATTAGTAGTGACTTGCCCCTGTACATCATACTTTTCCTTTAATGATAGAGTTGTGCCTGTCATCTATCTAACATCTTTCAGGGGAAAAGTTTTTTAATTGAAATAATGTGACCTCCAGTGCAAACTGGAAGTTTGTATATATTTAATTGGGACCTCCTGCCTCTAACGTTTCCTTATCTGGTCTTGTCTTTCATCTATTTAACTCCATTTTCGAGATTAAGGAAAGATGGACAAACGGACGGACAGAAGACAGTTGGAATTTAGAGGTCTATAATTTTTTCAAACTGCGGCACAACAATTTTAATATAGAAACTGAATAAATAGTATAAAACTTCAATATATTTCTTTTCTATAATTTTTGCATAAAGGTTTATGCAATTACATCATTACATGAAATATGCTTGTTTATTCTAATTACATCAGCCATATTAGTGTTGACAAGTTGATTAGATTCTATCTTGGTTGTAAGTAAAATTTCATTCCAATCTGTACCTTCAAATTCAATAATAAATTTGAAGATGCAGATTAAATAATTTTAACTGTTTACAAAAAAAAATCCTCTAGAAAATTTTTTAGCTCTACATCTCTCTATATCTTCCTCCTCAGGTAGTGTCTATAATGAGGTTGGCAATCAGCAAACATTGTTCTATCTTGTGTGAAATGAAAGAGATTCTGTGTTGTCTTATTGGTCCACTTCATCAGATAGTCCATCCAGGTCAAACATTGCCTTTTCCTTCTTTTTCTCTCTATTTTGCCTGATAATATGAAATAGGGAATTTGAAATTGTCTGCATATGTGGCCAAGATAAGTAAATTTCCTTTTCTTAATAGTGAACATTCTCTCTTTATGTAACACAAAATTTAAATACAGTGCTACCTCGATTTTCACGATTTTCACTCAATAATCCATCCGAAAACAATTGGCGAAATCTGAAACTGACAAAAACCTGAGGCAATTATTTCCATATGAATCAATGTAAATCCAATTAATTCATTATAGACACTCAAAAATACATACTGAAAATGCATTTTATAGAGAATAAATATAGTGTTTAATACTAAAAACAGTAAGAAATTAATATAAAATGAATATAAAAGACTAATGTAAAGAATAAATGAATATTTAACATGGCATTTCCCATGATGGAGCTAAAAGGAAAGGAAAGCAATGGAATTGGACATATTCAAAATCTCAGCATCAATCCAGTGAGATGCTGCCGGAAGTGATGCAACTGCTGGCGTTTTCTAGACAACACAAATGCTGACTGCCGGAAATTTCAGGAGAAAAAAACAAGAAAAATGGCAAATGATGTGGACTTCCACGTTATGTTAAACTTATTTAATGAGAACAGCTTAATGAAAAATGAATATTTCAAAAAGAAAAATAGGGATGAAGATTTTTAAAATTTCAATAGGATTTTAAATAAATAAATCCTAAGATTACACTTTAACAACTAAAAAAAATTATGTGATGTCTTACATAAATATCCTAGTATATTAAAATAATCTATTAATATACTAACCAAATATTAATTTATTCAGGGTTTATTTTATTCATCAACAAATAAATTCAAAATTGTCAATGCAAAATAGAGCTATTATGAGTATCATGGTGGCTGCCATCTTGTTTGCTGGTGTATTGAACACCGAAAAAGATGCTTGCAGTTTGCTAGAAGCATGCTGGCAGAAACCAGAAGTCATCTGAGATTTTGAACAGAGGTGCTGGCTGCATGCTGAGATTTTGAATACAACCATTGTTTGGCTAGATGCGCAGGGTGATGCTCACACAATGAGAAACAATGCCACACTGAACGGGAAAATGCGAGGGTTGCCCTTTGTTTTTGCAAAAATTAGCAGTGAGGTCACGTGGGCACATGGATGAAATCCAAGGCAACCAACGAAAACCGAGACAAATGTCTTGTGAAAAAAAATCAAAAAAACTGAAACCGATGATAACCAAAGTATTACTGTATAAATGCTTTGAGCATTATATTTAAATTTCATGTTACATGATATATTCTTCATTTTCAATCTTTTCATATGTTATCTGTCAAACTCTGGATTATCCTATTCATAGGTATTAGACACACAATTAGTGGCTTTTGGTAGAAGAGAGTAACAATTTTATTTTATCTTTAATTGCATTTCATCAACTGAAAAGTACACAGCACACTGTATCTTCTTAACCAAAAAAAGTATTGAGAAATATTCTGTCAGCACAGAAAAGTGTCTGAATATATCTTGTAATGCACATTACTTTTAGTTACACTTTACTCTTTAAAATATTCTTTTCCTTCAGATCTCTGTTTTTCTGTTTCAACATTTAGAGAACTCATATTTCACTAGTCCACAATAAAGTTGTAAATTGTTATTTTTTTTCTGAGATTTTTTGCTTTTCACTGATGAGGACTCCTAATCACTTCAGGTTTACAGTAATCATAACAATGTTTCTATTACTTATGGAGTAGAAATTCACTACCATGTTACCTTTCATATCACCCATTTTATCATATTTTTCATAATTCTATATGAATTGTAATATGATAAAATAGTTGATACTATGTCTTGTGAATTATATTGATGATTATTCTGCAGGCTAAAGCAAGAATGACTTATCTTCTCAATCAAATTAGAAACAACAATTTCTTTCTGCAGCATTTTAGATTCAATTCTCTCAATTCACATTTAGATTTCTCTGCTTCATAAGCATTGAACTTACTTTTCATCTTTAGTCATACTGGTATGCACATTGATATAAGACAGTTTTCATATCTTGTTAGTATAAGATTAATCAGCAGGCTGATCAGCCACTCATTTAAACATCAAAAAGAATATTTGGTAAGTAATAACTTTCATATAAAAGAAAAATTAAAAATACACTGAGTGCGGTGTTAACAGTTTTTTATTTTCACTAATGCTTTCAATGAACTTATGTTCATCATCTTCAGGCAAACAAAATATAAAAATAGAATACAATGTTCTAATGTAAATGAAACACACATTATTTAAATTAAAATTAAAAACTATTATGAGCTTGCCCAAAATTCAATTACACTAGATGTTGTAATGTCATGCAGCACATATGTGGATATACACCCACGTTAAAGATGTGATGACAGATGTAGATCACTATTTAACCATTTGTATGGGGCAACCCACACAGTAGGCAGGTCAAGTGTGGGAGTGTTGCATGGCTCTGAGGTTGTTGTAAGAAGAGATTCCCATATAAAAATGAGTTTCCGGTTGCTGCAGTGTCTGATTAACATTGTTTGAGCCCATAACAGATTGTAGTTCTGTCTGAGAAGCTTTTTTTGCAAGCTCTGTGGTAAACTTTCCTTTCATCATGTCATCCTACTAGGAGCTCAACTAGGCAGCTAGCAAGCATTCATGTTGTGGGCCCCAATGTATATTGTGTTCACCTCCATTATGGGATTCTCCAATGGTACAGCATAGATTGCTTGTTTTTCAAAGGTGGAGAATTTATCCTGATTGTTTCAGATGAGATAAGTTGGTACAAATTCACTAGTGGCGATAGCAGCAGGAGAAAGTTGTTATCTGAATATATGGCAAATGCACATAGAAAGGGGTCCAAGGTATGATAATGGCAGTTAAACAACTGACACTGCCCTCTTGTTATGCAGTTTCATGCTTGGAAATAGAAAATTCCTGACCATATTATGCACATGTGTGAAATTAGCACATGAAAAACTAGCCATGGATTACTGCCAAACTGATGGTGTTTAACTCAATGCTTACAAGTGTTTGCATTGATTGCTCTTCTAATGAAGGCAGCAATAGCAGCATCAACATATCATACAGGTTGGAAAGCATCTGCAGAGGTGATATAAGGCACCTTATTAAATTTATGGAAAACTGAGAATAGTAGTTCTTCAGAGAATCTACGTATGTGCACAAATCTGAAAATGTTATTGCTACGTCAACCTCTTTTCATAATCTTAACATATAAATTTTCTTTTCCAAGACCTTCAAAATTTTCTTGTCATTACTTTCAATGTCATATTGCATTCTAATATTGATGCTATAAAACTTCCCTTCAAAAAAAATCTGAAAAGCCTATTTTCTTTATATAAATAGCACCCTTTACATACATTTCCCTAATTATCAGAGAAAAGCAATATTTTTAGTGATATTTTATAGATCCTCATGACAAGATAAATAAAGCCATCTCTCATTATTTTCTAGAATGTACATTTGGACTGGGTAAGGTTAAATGAATATAAAGTACAGTACATGTATATTATCAACTATGTTCTTATCATAAGTGCTGCTAATTTTAATCATGCACTAACTTGCAATTAATTATTTTAATGTATTACATTAACAAGTATGTTTAATAAAACTTATGTAATAGTTTTTCTTTTAGAAACCCGCACTCTAGTTCAAATTATCTCTTTTATTTAGTACATTAATAAGTTTTGAACAATAACCAAAGTAATTAATTAATAATATGCAACATATAATAGTTATGTATTTATTACTAATTATTCTAATTAAATGCTTTTGAAGATATTTCACACTTAATGATAAACATCTAACACAATAAGTTATTCAAATTCATTAACATTTTCAATGTTGGAATCTGTTAAGTGATCAATCTGACAATGAGATGCAAAACAATGGAAAAATGTTTGATCAGAGTAAATCAGAGATTCCCAAAGTGGGTGCTATGGGTGCTACTGCTCCCCTATTGGGGTGAGCAAATCTAGGGGGCACTGGAGGTAGGGTACTGAACAGTAATCATAGGCAAGAGTTGGGGTCACTGACAACTTTTCCCTTTCCTCTGTTAAAACAGGTAAGAAGAAACATTGCATTTGTTTCCAGATGTGGAGGACAATGTACTGTAAGGATACAACATTTTTCTATGAATATTTCCAAGCCTTTCTCACACAAGAGAAAATGGGTTAGGGGTGTTGGGTTATGGAATCAAGGGACAGTGGCTTGAAAAAGTTTGGGAATCACTGGAATAAATTGTGTTTTGGCTCTATTAACAATGCAGCATTACTTTTGTTTCAAAATTTTTAATGAAAGATAAAACTGATTGTTACAAGAAAACTCGTGTTTAAATATGATGTAATCATTTAAAATATATTTATAGGTTTTAATAAAAAGTTAACACATTGAAATTTAAATAAATTTGTTATTAATTTGTTAAAGTGGATAGAAAAAGTCTTTTTAAGTTATTCATTTGTAACACAATCAACTCATCAAAACATTTCAATTAATTAAACAGTCATTATTGGATATAATTTACAAAATCAAGCCCTTACTTATTTCATAAATATGAAAAGTTACAGAAGTCTTACAACCCACAGATGGAAAGAGAGAGAAAAAAATTAAATGTTAGCTGTATTTCATACTTGCAATATCAGTAGGCCTATATAATATATCAAATAATGTATTAAATAATAAAATAAAATATATTTTATGATTATTTCAAGCTTTAAGGCAATTGTACCCATAGGATTTTAAAAAATTGATTATTAGTTTTAATTAAGAGATTTAACTTACATAACTGGTTTTGATTCTTGGATATTTCTTAAATTTGTAGAAAAGGGTTTAAATTGAAATGAATAATTATTCTTTATTTCAACTATTCTATTTACATAAATATTGGTTTGTTTATAATGCAGACAAGCAAATGAATTAACTTTTCCAATGAAAGAAGTACCTGAAATATAAATATTTAAAGAATTAATGATGAAAATTAATAAATAAAATCAAAAACTAAATTATTTATCATTATTACACATTAAATATAGATAGCTTTAGATATGTATATACTAAATAAATATGTAGGAGGCATTCTGTTAACCTAGCATTGCTGGGACCAATGCAGTGCCGGGTTATCGAATATGTTGCCTTATCAGACAATGGAAGTTTTTCTGGTTTTTCAATCCCACAGAAACAATTTTACATATTGTGTGCAAAACCATAGAAATTTACCTTTTATGATTGTTTAACACACCATTTCAATTTTTACAGGCTATTCCTATTCTTGGTTAGGTTGAAATAAGAACACTATATTCTTATTTTGTGCTTTGCACACTTCTATTGCATATAAATACAGACATACACTAATTATCAAAGAACATGTGTAGTAATATACTGAAGCTGTTTCCGTGATAATTATTGATTCCAGTTGAGCTAAATATTTCTACTTTTCATATCAAACCTGTGCACTATTGTCTGGAAGAAGTCATTAATTGCACCCCTTTCCAAGAACTGCATATTTTGTGTACTTATACACGAAAATCTAACCGTTTTCTTATAATGCTTTATAATCTATATAATAACTAATCATACCATTATGCAAAAAATAAATATTCTAGTTCATCCTTATATTATTCTAGAAATTAGTAATAATAATTATAAAAAATTAACATTAAAATAACTTGATTAAGACAATCACTTACTCCTCCTGAATATGTTACTAATGGAGGCCGCCATGTTTTTACGTAGTCTCATGCCAACGAGATTTACCGTATGTTATACTCTCGACACCTTTCTCGATGAAGAGAACTATTTTCACCGGGTAAAGATGTTGAGGTCGACTCGAAAAGTTCCTTTGCCTTGCAAATTGGTATGTTTATGAACCTGAAGCAATTATTTATTTTTAATGTCAAATATATCCTATTTATACGCATATAATTATTCTAGGCTCAAAGTACGAATGGATTTTAATAGACTCGAAACTAGCATTTTAAATATCCATAAATTATTAATTCTCACTCTTATAACTGAATATATTAAGTAATATTAATCAATTGGTCCTATTAATTAACGTTAACGAACAAAAATTGACTTATTTATTGATAAATTTTAATAATTTACATTTTTTGAATATTTAATACATTATTTAGGCATTTTAATACACTTTACATCAGTATATTACTCTTCATTTCTTAAAAATTTCAGTAATGAATATACAGTTGACCCTCCTATAACACTGTTAATAATTCTGTTGTACGAGTTACTTAGATTTTACAAATACGTGTGCCGGGCTGTGAACGGCTCGCGTATTTGTAAAATCTAAGTGACTCATGATCAACATGGAACATATAAAATCAACATATATATAAGATCAACATGGAATTCATATAAAACGGAACTATCAACATTGTTATGGGGGGTCGACTGTAATCATTGTATGAAACCTTTTACATCTTTGACTGATTGCATTAAGGAAAGATAACATGATAAATTGATCAAGCAATTCTCTTACTCTTCAATTTAAATCACAAATGCTACAGGAATTTCAATAATAAAATTTCATTGAAGGATTAGGTGAAGAATTTATTTTGGCTAGGATTGTAGGTCGTCTCTATACAAGCAAAATAAACTGAAAGAAATTGCGGATTTAAAAGCAACATCTCGTGTGTTATTCTGCTCAAGTTTTCCTTATGTACAGTACAGTATGGTTCAAAAGTCAGGATATGAGAAAAAATCATCTTAGGTATGTCTGAAAGAAGGTCCCAAAAGGGCACTGTAGGAGGAAGTTTTAATGTTCAATTTATCTACTTGAATTTTGAGGCATTTCCAGTTTGTTACTTTGCATAGCAATCATTTCCTGATTTTTGGACCATACTGTATGTTTCGTGGTAGACACTCAAAAATCAATCATCTTATTTTTTTGAAGTTTCAGCTATTTGCTGAGAGTAAGCTTATGATTGCTGTATGTCATGTATTTAAGTAAACAGTTTAATTTTCTATGATATACCATATAATTCAATTCTGTACACTAAATATTTGTGTCAGCAAATAATTTTGTAGTAATAAAACATTTCATCTCATAGAAGCATTTTTATCTACTTAAAAGAAAAACATTAAACACTGTTTTAGGATACCGGTACTCTCTTATTTTAAAGTTTCATTAATCTTTGATAACTGTAAAATTAAAGTTTAAAGGAGTAAAAACTTGAATTATCCAGAAGCAATACTTGGCAAGATTCATATCTTGCCATGTACCGCTTCTGAATAATTCAAGTTTTTGTTCATATAATGATGATTTATAATCTTGACTGACATGATACTGTGACTGCAGGGTCAGAGCCTCTTTGGCACCTTGTCAGGATGACACCACTGAGTCTTTATGGACAGACACAGAGACCGGATTGGTTGCTTAATTTCGTTGCGTGAGTGATCGCATTTGCAGGCTTCGGACCCGGAATGGAGGCAGATGGAAACGACCAGAGGAGTACACTCCACTAGTTATCATTTAATAAAAATACCTGTTTATTGATAGATAATATTTACAAATTCTATGAGATATTGCTTACAAGTTTCCATCATTCAGAAGCTTAGCCAAATGGCTAAAGTGAAGTTAGATGTTTAGCAAAATTTCTAAAGGGAGAGTGTATATACAAAGATATACCCAACATGACCCTGTTTGAGAGAAAGAGCTCTCAGTAAATTCGTGAGATGGTAAATACCTTAATCACTTGTTGGTCCTAGGAATTGGTAATCCCAGATTCAGCAAATTGATGATCGGTTTGATGAAGACTCAGCGACTCTGGAAGAAAAGGAAAGTTCTTTTTCTCTTGCGAGGGCAGCAAGTGGCAACGGCTGAAATTAGCAAATACTTCCCACTTAGGGAAAAGGTTGATGACGACTGCCCCGGCTTGTTGTCATCCCTACCTTTTATTTGGGGGCTCCTCCTGGGTTTTTCCCATGACTTCATTAGTAGGCTTAGTACATTGGGACTAATAGTCACATTTTCACTCATTGATTCTGGGTGACACATTCAATGCATCATCTTCAACAAGGAAATAAGTCTGTGAGAAAATAGTTTAATTATCTTTGATGATTTTAGCAAAACAACTTTAACGAAAAACTAAATTGAACAAAAATTTTTTCATCAAACTTGGCTCTCACAATACTAATGATACTTAGCAGAGAAAATCATGATATGATGGCAATAGTACTCTGTAGAGATAAAATCTTGACATGATTATTATTTTACCATTTTTTATTGTATTCATTAGTTAGATAGTTTTCCATGAACCTTAACAAGAAATGTGTAGTCAATGCCAGATTATGGAATGGGCTGACCGGCCACCTGCCTGGAGCACTAAAACATAGGAGGTGCGAAACAAGGCTGTCACTAGACTCTTACAGACTGTGCTCCTTCCAAAACTAATTACTTGGCAATGGGAGCATTGCTATACCTCTGTTCAAAGCAGATGCAAATATTGAAAGAACATAGAATAATTCATTGTCTTTTATTGATAGAAGTGTCTAGTTAGTAAATACAAAACAATCACATATTTAACAAGCAATGTAATAACTGCAATTTTTATCATACTTTTACTTTAAAATATATGCTCTCCACCTCAAATTAGTACTATAGTGTCTTGCCCCTGTACATCATACTTTTCTATTAGCAATGGAACTGTGCTGGTTGTCTAGCTAACTTCTTTCAGGGAAAAATTTTTTAATTGAAATAACGTGATTTCCAGTTTACATCAGAAGTTCGTATATAATTAATTGGGGCCTCCTGCCTCTATACTTTCCATATCTGATCTTGAAATTCATTTATCTTATACTATTCTTTAGATTAAGGAAAGACAGACAGACAAAAGATAGTGGGAATTTATAGGTCTATAATTTTTTCAAATCAACCCAAAAATGCTTTCTCAATTCTTTTATCTTTAAGTATGTACTAGTATGATAACAAATTATTTAAGTATAAAAATATTTAGAGGCATCACATGCACAAAATTATCTTGATCTGGCTCTGTATATAGTTAATGAACTGGCTTTTTGTTCCAGTTGGGTCAGTTGGGGTATCCTTGTTAATATGTTACCATAACATAGAGAAAAGGATGAAATGTATTAATCTTATTCTTTTAGATGTGGAATTTACTTAATCAATATTGCTTTGCTTTCTCTTAGGCATCAATATACCACACATCTAAATAAAAAAAATGGCAATGTTGAATAGTATGAAGTAGCACCATTCAACAATTCAACTTTAGATATTATAATAATAGTTTTAATAACATTAATAAACATGTCTAACGTCGACACAACAGCTCAGCAAAAAAAGTCACCAACACCTCCGCAGGCTAGACACGCCCCTTTTAATAACATTAATAAACAATATAAGAATATTATTACTAATATTAATAACAACAAATTAATAAGTAGTAGTGCCATCTGAGTAGAAACAAAGACAGTAAACAAACCCACAAACAAATACTTTGGTTATTTAAGCCAAATGATTTCCAGTTATATTACAACTACCGGCTTTACTGGTTCTTTAATCATTTTGCTTGCTTTAAAGATAAACTCGTGTGTATGTGGTATGTTAAAACATCACAAAAATTCTGCTGTATAGCAAATGTCATTAAAGATACAAAATACAATAGTGTCCAATCCTCAGAGGGGTTTGTATGTACGTTTCAAAGAATTTTGAAAATGTGAGCATTCTATAACTTAGTTCACTGTATTTTTCTTTTTTTTTTTCTCTTTGAAATTCACTTTCAAAAGTTTTAAAATGCGAGATATATACTAACTTTGAATTTTTTTCAGTATAAATTAAGATAATTTAAACTACTTGGCTTTTTTAAACATTAATTTAAATAATAATGGAATTCTGCTAAGTATAATCACTTTGAGACTTCCCTAAACTGATGATGATAATCTATAGATAACACAAAGTGGAGTAAGCAAATTAGAATAAATTCTAGTTTTATTGACTCTAACATTAAAAAGACATTAAAACAAAGCATGTATTACTTGAAATTTATTAATTGAACTCTGAATGCTAATAAGTTCAGGTACAAATATAAACATTACAATTCAAATTTATTAAAAGTTAATAATATAACAACATTTTTTATATTAAGTAAGTACCATTTCATATATCTTAGCCATGCAATCTGTGATTCTTGGTTGGGGCTCTGGAAGTTTTATAATAAATGTTCAAGAGCCTGTTTGGTAATGGAGTGACCTTGTTGCAGATTTTTCAGTCTGTTCACGTCACTGAGAAAATAGATTTGTCTATGCTACTGTGCATTTTTAAGCCCAATTAAGATTCATGAAATGAGCTGTAATAAGATAGATAACATACATTCCTAGTACAGTGGGTGATTAATTAACAAACAGTTTGGACTGTGAACAAATTGGACAATGAACACTTTTGTGAAAGATTTTTATGTTCAGACAACAAACACCTGACAGAACAAACACAAGAAGTGACAATACATTTAGGATTTGTAAAACTAGACCTATATGTTACTGGTATCTATGAATGGTTTAATGAAGAGACTTTCATAACCTTTTTTTCTAGTTTATTTCTGTTCTCCAAATTTTTGTGTTTTCCTGAACTTTTTATTTAAAAAAAAAAACTGATAATATTATGGAACCTAAAAGGGTGGAGTGTCAAGAACTGTGTTTACTATAGAAACTTAACAAGAGATAATAGCCAAGGTAGAGTGTGGGCAGATGATGTCTAATGTTGCTAGGCAGTATGGCTCTGAGAAACAAAGATGTGCCATCGATGAAAAAATGGAGAGATTGCTTTTAGTTTGTTATTACACGTAAATAAATGTATTAAGAAATTATATAATTTTTTTTTTTTGAATTGCCAGAATGAATTAATCAAATTCCCATAAAAATTTATGGTAAATCTGTAATTGGTTAATGAACAATTCAGGTAATGAACACAGTCTTGGAATGGGTTATGTTTGTTAACCAATTACCCACTGTACTCAGTGTCCACAATGTGCTTTAATACAGGTCTTTATCTTGGTTGTCACTCTTCTACTGTTGTATAGATGTTTTCCTTAGGAAAGGGAGCCCATTCACATAGGAGGGACTTCTTGAGAGCCTCAACACTTGTGTAGCATTTAGCATAGACCTTGACCTCTAACTCTGACCATATGAAGTAATCCAATCGGTTTAAGTCAGGTGACACAGATCATCACTCTTCCATTGAAATAAAATCTGGAACTTTCTCTTTTAACAAATTCTGCATAGTTTTGGCATTGTGTACTGGAGCTGAGTCCTGTTGAAAAGTAAAGTTTGATATTTTTGAACAACATTCTGTTCAATGGTGTTCTACCACTGTTTGAAGAATCTTTTGTTTTGTAATGGTTCCTGGCACTCACTTTAACCTCTGTTAATACAAAACAAGGTTCTGTTTTTCTTTGTCAACTGATCCCTGCTCAAACTCATAATTCTGGGATGATGAGTCCTTTGAGGCTTCTAGACATGCAGGGGAATTCCTTTCATTGATTTGGCATAGGTAGTCATTTTAATTGTTAAATTTTCCTCCTCCATGGTAAAAATTTTATCTGAAGAGAATATTTTTCACATTTTCTTCATACTTCTGCAAAAGGCAATGACACAGCAAATCAGCATTTTCTGCTTTTCAGCCTGTGTCAGCATGTGGTATTAAAGTCTCAAGCTTGAGGTACTTTTTCAGTATTAGATTGTCTTGAGACAATTTATCTATAAGGCCTGCCTTTTTGGCATTGACAAAGTTATTCAGTTTTTCAAAGCATAAAACATTTATGGAGTCCTTTTATCCATTACTTGGTCAGTTCTCAATATTATTAGTTTTTTTGTACCTCTTAATGGTACAGTATATCAGGTTTCATCTAATATTTCCAGGTTTTAGCAGATGGTGAATTTCAGATTTCTTTGTTCTTTAAGAAAAAGCTGAAGAATTGTCTTATATTCTCTTTGTAGTTCTTTCAAGAACAAAGACTGCAATTTATTTTTTGTAGAATTCAAAAAATGTTCAAACTGCAAATAGCTGCAGACCATTGAATCTCTTCAGCTTCCAGTAAAACATAAAATGCATCAGTTCACAAATGTTTTTGGATTCAGGATGATTCTGAAAATGTTTATGAATTGATACATTTTATATGTTTTGCTGAAAGCTGAAGAATCTCAGCAGTTTACAGATATTATGTTTCCACTCATAGAGAAGTAGGTTTTGTAACAGCAAATAGAATAGGTATGAAAATTTAAATGAAAAGCATGTCACAGTGTGAAAAATAAGACAAATTTCGTGCCAGAACTTAAATTATTATTTAAATTAAATTAAAGAGCTAAATGATTAACTTTTCTCTCTCTCTCATGCCCATTATATTGGTGATATCAATTATTAAAATTACCTTCTATTTACAATAAAGTTTACAAAACTTGGCATTATCTTTCCGAATAAATGACTACTAATTTCAGGAAGTCAATATTTAATAATTAAAAGAAATGTTTTCAGTTAAGATCTGATCATTCTTAGCATTTCACCTAAACTGAAAATGTTTCATTTAATTAATAAAGTTGACTTTCTGAAAATTAGTATTCATGTATTCATTTCATCTATATTCTGTTTAACTTTTTTGAGTGTATTTTAGCATTTATCATCATAATTATATCTTCTTTTGTAATTATAATTATAACGCAATGAATTAAATTTGATTGCTAGATTATTTTTGTTATATTTTGACAATTAACAATTAATATAAATAAATTTTTATGAAGATAGGCAGTTGGACTATTGCCTATCTTTATAGTTATTGATAATCACAATAATCTTTGAATTAAATAAATTATTAAATTTAGTTCAATTACTTTTTGTAATATATTTTGAAGTTTAAACTTAATACTTGTGAAATGAAAAAAATTTAAAATATTTTAACAGAATACAAATCACAGCTTTTTTTGTTAAATTCTTGTGAATAGATTTTTTTTTATGAATATTAAAATATTATTATTTATTACTTACAGCTCTCCTCATCAAAAAAGTGTTCTAAACCACGTTTCCAATCAAATAATTCCTTTCAAGAAACAAAAAAGTAAGGACAATGTTTTAAGTTTAAAAATTATATATCACTCATATAAAAAATTTTTAAAACAATATTAAATTTAAATCTATTATGTTATAATCATTATATATTCAGATTGTTGTAATTGTTTCTTATAATTAACATGGAGTAATTACAATTAAATACACTAAACCTAAAAACCAGAAAAATTTTTATGAAAAATGCAAACATTTTTGCCCATGTTGAATGTCTGGACAATCTTTAGTGTTGCAAAGGAAGGAGGAAATAGAGGGACTTCCACATTAAACAAAAGTTATTTCTCCTGGATATTTCCTTGTAAAGAGTTGCTAGCTTCCTGTCGTAAGTGACAGTCCTGGGTGCAATTTATCTGCAAGGCAGAAGTGGTGGAGGAAAGACAACATATAAAGGTCTTTAATAGTATTGGGGGGCATAGCCGTGCCGAGTTGCATATCAGGTGATCGTAAGAAGCTCTTTATCTCTATCATGTGTGTTTGACAAATGGGTAAAGGCTTTTGAAACCAAGGCCACCTGTGCTTTGTTCTGCCATCAGGTATGTTCTATTTGCCTTTGTAAAGCTTATCCATCAAGCCAGAGACATAAATATGCTATCCTGAAATCAATCATTGAGGTTGAAAATGGCATTTGCCCATGTGACCCTCTTTTACTCTTCCACATCAGCCATCATGTCATTGACCTGACAGATTCAGTCAACTCTTGCCTCTGTAAACTACACAACAAGAAGATCTCATGGTTAGCATGCAAAAGCATTCCAAAGAAATCCATCTTTAAAAAAAACTAAAATAAATTGCAAAATGTAATATACTATATTGGAATTTATGAAATGATAAAGGATGGTAAATGATGGTAAAATTGATAACTTTTTACCATATAAAAATGACAAAAATTAAAATAATGTAATTAACAGATTGTTCTAAGAAAATTTGAATATAGTTGTATAGAAATGTATAATACATCAATAAAAGCAATTATCATGGAGCTGGCAATAGGCAAACATGAGATATTATATTAGATTGCTGTAGTAATAAATAGGATATTAACTATGTAGTTTGATATTTATTCTATAGTTTGTAACAATTTAGTGGCTTTGATAAACAAACCTAATTCACCCGACCAGGAATAGCATCCATCTTTGCACCTAAACTTTGAACATTGACAGTCCTGGAAGCAGAAATGGAATAATGGTGATGAATAAAATAACATAGTCAATATGTTTTTTTTAACATGATATGGATGCTGTATATTCTATACATATATATGTAGTCACTTTAATCCGAAAACTTTTTTTGTTGACAGACAGTCTTACAGCATTAGTGACACTGTCAACCAAAAAAGTTTTTGGATTAAAGTGACTTCATATATATATATGTATAATCAATATGATTGACAATTTATTAGAACTAGAAGCATCATTATCAGACACAAGTGAGGATTTTCACAACAGTGAAAATAAAACAAAAAAAAATTTTATTTGGGAAAAAAGTGGAGTAAAATAAAACTTTTGTCTAAAGTTTGTTATTGTTAACTGTTTAATATTGTATTTCATTACCTTGGAATTGATGCGAATTGAGTGTTTTAGTTCAGAGATTGTTTTCTATATTTTATTTAAAAAATTTTTAGAAATATAGTTACTTTTATTCATTTTAAATCTTTTATTATCGTTTTTCATTATCAGGACCTATTTATTATTAGCAAAAAGTTCTAATATTGAACTGGATTGCTTGCCTTTATTCTTAAATAATCAGGTCATTCAATTTTATTTTTCATATTGCTATCTAAACACTATTTTTTTTTAATCCAGCATTTATTCTTTTTTTTAATAAAAAGAACATTTTTAGCTGCTTTTATCAGCCATCTTCAATTTTAAGTTCCTAAAGAGGCAGTTTTTAAATACTTGAAGATGGCTGGTACAAGCAACCAAAAATGTTCATTTTATTAAAAAAAAAAAAAACTAAGGATAAAAAAAAAGTTTTTTGGATAGCAATATTGACATTTGCAGTATTTGTGTAGAAGTTGAAAACAAAAATTAGATATGATTTTAATTTCCATTTGGAATTCCTTTGAATTAAAAAATTTTTTTCTAATTGCTATATTTTGGTACAGATGAACAATAAATAATAATTTACTGGTTATTTTTCAATGAGAGATTTTATCTCATATTTTTTTGCTTAAAATATAGTATGAAGGATTATAGTCCTTTATGCAAGTAAATGCATTACAGAAAGGTATGTGATTTACACAATGTTAACTCTGGTGACTTTGTGAATGATAGGCAAAACTAGAGTACTACTGCTGTCAGAGACATTGAAATGTAATGATTGATATTAGTATAAACTTATGATGACAAATTCAGTGATGGAATTTGTAAAATGAAAATTCAATATTTGAAAAAGACTGTTTTATTTGTAATCTTTAAATAAAAGATTTATTTTTTGAATTTCATTGTGCTGTTATGTAAATTGTAAAAACAAGACTCAAATATTTTAATAACATAATTTTGAATCATTAGAAAAGACTAACATTTTTCTTTTGAGCATTAAAATTTATGAAGCAAACTATCTTCTTTCAATAAGATTTTGGCCACCAGGAGTGCAATACCGAGTGACAAAATAAACGAAATAATGCGAGGGACTGGCAACATCACTGAACTCTCTGGCAGGAAAGTAAGTCTTTTTGTGTTGACTCTCCTGGTGAACATGTGCATTTACAACATGTCATGAAAGTTTTTTTGTGTACTGTGACCATTGTATATATTGTGTTTGGAGATTAAATGTATATATTTGAATCAAACTCTGTGATCGTCTGACTGATCAACTGCACCACTGACAGAACATGCAATGTACCTGACTAAGATCGTTGATAAGGTGCGTTTCAAATTTATACAGACACGAAAAAATTAAAGTGAAACCCAGATTTGCTGCATTTGTGTGGAAACATGTAAATCCATGTTATTTTTAATAAAACATTTGTCACTTAATGCAGCAAATTTAATTTTTTCGTGTCCATATAAATTTGAAACGCACCTTAGTATGGGTTCAACATGACCTCTTGATTGAGCACACTACAAGATCTTATATAAATATTGTGACAATAAAAATTATTTTATTGAATTGAATTTAAAAATTCTGTTTAGTACTTCCACATTGTTTGAAAAGGGAAGAATAAAAATTTATCTGTTAATATTTTATAAATTCACTAAAGATCAAACAAAAGATATGTATTTTTGGATGTACTGTACAATGATTCATATATAATCTACAAAAATTAACTATAATTACTTTTCATTATTAACAAATATCATTTGTTAATAATGAAAAGTAATTATAGTTAATTTTTGTATCATATATTATAATTATAGTTAATTTTTGTATCACTGTACCACCAAAGATTTTGGTGGTACAGTTATGATTTTTCTATTATTTATTTATTTCATGTAAATGAAGTTATTTTTGAGATTTATGTATATTAATGTTGTTAATTTTTAATTTCAGAAGTGGTAAAAAAACAGTGTTTGCTCTAATAGGCGCTACAACTCTTACTGCTGGTGGTGTTATTGCATATGCTAAATATGATCCAAAATTTGCCAAAATTTTGGAAGAAAATGTACCATTTTCTGGATCTGTTTTAAAATCTATTCCAGATTGGAATGATATCACCTCTCTGTAAGTAAATTTAATGTACTTTAAAATTATTTCCAGACTTTGGATTTTTAAGTTTTCTGTTATCAGTTTTGAAATTCACACTGATTTGAATTTTTAATCTGTTAATTTACTATCTTATATTATGGAATTTACAAAGTTTTTTTTCTGTAATTTTACTTTTCACGATGAGCTGAAATATTTGAAGGTATTGATAATTATAGTAAACATTCATAGAATCTTCAGTAATTAATTGTATGATTTGAACAGAAAAAATATTTCAATAATTTCAAATTATATTAAAAATTTAAATTAGATATTGTGAAAATTTTATATTTATGAGCCAAGTTTTTTCTGATAAATAGAGATACTTTACTACTTGATATATTCAGAACAGTTGTTGATTCCAGAATTGGTTCAAGATTTTTCTGAGAATTATTTCTGATTATAACTAAATGATATAATGCTTCACTAACAGTTGTGAAAAGGTACCAATATCATTACTATTTGAATTATTTGACATTCTTGACAGTTGAATTGAATGAAATAATTAGTATATTGGTCTCATATATTTATATTTGACGACTTTATATTATTCTGTGGGTTTTCTATTTCCTTTCTAATCACTTGATTAATTGTAAGTATGAATATGGATTCTGTTGAAGTTATGCCTTATAATAATATGGACATCTTATAGTTCATTATTGTATTTGCTATATAAAAGATTTTAAATTGTATGAATTGAGATGTTTATGATACCAAGATTAATAAAATTTTGAGATAAAGAAATTATCTGTAGACTGTTCAATAGTTTTGTAATTGTTTTTCTTAATATTATATTTTAACAAATTGTTTTTATAGTGCAGAGAAAGGAAAGTCTGTGATAGAACCCATAACTTCAGTTTTTAAAGATAAAACACCTAAATCATCATCTTCAGATGAAAATTTGAAGGAAGGTCTTCTTAAAAAAAAATTAGAAAGAGATGCTAGCAAACAGGTATGCATGTAGATTATTGTTTATTGAAGTCACTTGAAAAAAAAATGTTATTAAATTATGAATTAAAGACATGCTTTTGAAACTTAATAATAATGTATTAATAACAAATCAGAACAGATTATTTTCAAACATAAATAAAGTAAAAACTTGCTATTCCTATCAAAATATAACTATAATTATATTGATCAGCTTGAAATATTTTTCAATATCTATTGTATTAAAGTTAATTACTTATCTATTTAAAATAGTAGTAATTTTTTTATGATCAGAGGTATTGAATATTATTAGATATTGAAGTATTAGTTATTTGAATAATTTTGTTGATTTTATTTTTGTTTTAATATTAAAGATGCATTATTTATTAATGAGATGACATGAGAACAAACAAAACAAAATTCATTTATATCAGGTAATTGAATGAAAAATTTACTTACAAGGAATAGACTTAGTGACACTGTGAGCCTGCTATACTTATTGCTGTCTTGTTGTGTATCACAAGAAACATTTAGATATTGAACATTTATTTACTATGGATTTGAAGAATAACATTTGAAACTCCCTGCTGATATCATTATCTATTTCTTTCATGTAAAGTTTTATTTAATCATCATATGCATTACTAGATTGGATCATTAGAATATTAGATTATATTTTTATTAGTAGCTTTGCAATATGAGTTGAAATAATTTTTTTAAATATTAGAATTAGAAGCAAATTGCTATAATATTAGAGTAGAAGAATGGTTTGAAATGAAAATACATTCAAATTTATTGTAAATTAAAATATAATAAGTGTAATTCACATATATAAATATTTTAAACTGTTGTTTGTTGTTATGTTTTCTTTTCATATTGACTTCATAGACCTATCTTTATCTATTTTTTTCCAGACAGAATTAAATTGAATCGATTGAAAATTAATATTTGTCATTGGAATTAGTGTTAAAATTAAAGCATTCATTAACCTATTGAAAAATACTTTAAAATATTTAATGTTGTTATATTCATTTATATATCTATAAAGTGATCTCAAATATTTCATTTTCGTCTTTCATTATATAATTATTGCATTAAGATATAAATATTTACATCATACAGATAAATTGTGTCATAAATTGAAAAATGATATTAAAAAAATAATGGTGTGAATTTCATACCTTTTGAAAAAGTCAAATTATTATTACCTATGTTACACGGAATAACAACTTATTATATCAGTAATATGTTATTGATACTTGGTTATTTAGTGCAAGTGTTTCCAACCTATGGCCAGTAGGCAAATGTGGCCTCCAAATATATTTATTTGGCTCATGTAGCTTGTTTTCACCAACATATTTTATCAGCATTAGAACTAGTTCAAATCATATAAACTTTTGAAAAGTTAACTATCATAAAATCAATAACCCTCGATGCAAATGATTTTAATAAAAACTTGTTTAAAGAAAGGAGTTGTTGAATTTTTACAAATTTCTGCCAGAAGAGAATTTTAAGTCTTAAGAAATTTTCAAGGGAAATGTTTTCTATATTTGCTTTTCAGAAATAGAAAACATCTCCCTTGCAAATTTCCTGTTTCAAAAATAAAGTATAGCAGACTCACTAATCTAGTCTTTTAATTATCTGGTATGCTCTTTACTGTGATCACCTATGCATTCCTGTTTACTCAAATTTCATTTGTGTGTACAGTAATGCAGTTTAGTGTGCTGTATTATTTGCTTGCCTTCCTCCAAAAAAATTCAGCAGCAAAGGGTGACAGGTCATGTCATTCATTGCCTTTAGGCAGACTTTAACTTTATGCATTTTCAGTAATCTGGCATTCTTGCCAATCTGGCACCCCTATGCATTTAGTATATTATATTGCTTTGATAGCATACTTATTTAACAAATTATGTGATATAATTTAATGTTTTGATTATTTGAAACCTAGCATTACACTTAAATCATATATTTGTATTGTGAAAATAATATATAAAGACCTTGAATAAGTTCTCGCTGTTTTTTTGTGAAAATTAACACTTTATTTAAATAAAGTCGTAATAAACACGCCACTGAAAGTATTGTTCATCACCAGCCACTACTTTTCTCCCATCGTTCTGGCAGCATTTGAATTCCACGTCGGAAAAACAGCACGTCTTTTGAGGCTCTCCAAGATTTGGCATATTTTGACATCTTCATAAGAAACCCATATTTTGGCATCTTCATAAGAATGGAAGTGCTGCTCAGCCAGGCCATGTGCCATCAATCGGAACAAGTGATAATCGGAAGGGGCGATGTCTGGTGAATATGGCGGGTGGGGTAGGACTTCCCATTTAAGCATTTCCAAGTATGTTTTCACCGGTTGTGCAACATGTGGCCGAACATTGTCATTGTCATATAGCGGCCGTTTTTCCTTCAATGCTTGGCTCAAATGCATCAATTGTAGTCGATAGTGATCTCCCGTGATGGTTTCGTTTGGTTTGAGCAGCTCGTAATAAACTACACCTAGCTGATCCCACCAAATGCAGAGCAGAAGCTTCGAACCATGCATATTCGGCCTTGCTGACGATGTTGATGCATGGCTGGGCTTACCCCACGATTTTCTATGCATAGGGTTATCGTAGTGTATCCGTTTCTTGTCGCCTGTCACGATACAATGCAGAAAAACCTTTCCTTTTCTGCTGTTGAAGCAGCTGTTCACATGTCAAAAGATGCTGTTTGACGTCTCTTGGCTTCAACTTGTATGGCACCCAATGTCCTTGCTTTTGAATCATTCCTAATCCTTTTAAACGTTTCGAAATGGTTGTGTGATCAACTCCTAATGATTCTGCAAGTTCAGCTAGTGTCTGACATGCGTCTTCATGAAGTAACGCCTCTAATTCCTCGTCTTCAAACTTTTTTGTTGCTCCAGATCATTCTTTATCTTCAACATCAAAATCATTATTTTTGAAGCATCTAAACCAATCTCTGCATGTTGTTTCCGACAGAGCATGGTCTCCATAAGTCTCAACAAGAATTCCGTGTGCTTCAGCTGCAGATATTTTTTGAATAAAATAGTACAATAAAATTCCCCGCAAATACTTTTTTTGGCACGAAACTTGACATGTTTAACACAATGAAAAAATAAGTTGTTTACACTTCGGTGAAATGACATACTGAATTTCAAGGTCGCTTATTGTACTTCATCTAAAAATAAACACACGTGGTTCTGGTAACGCCATCTGTTAAAAAACAGTGAGAACTTATTCAAGGTCCCTATATCTTAAACACTGCTTAAAGATATTAATAAATAACTTACAATAATTTATTACTTATTTATGATTTGTGAAATAAATTAATGTAAATATAAAATTCTGTATTGATCTGTCTCTTCAAATTCACATATATTTTTTTTTATATGAAATTTTTTTATTAGGTTGTATTATTATTGTTATTATTATTTTTTTTTAATAGGAAATTCAACCTATTCCTATTCCCCTTCCTCCACCTGTTTATGGAAAAGATGGTAAGTAACAAAAACTAATTCATCAATTTTAGTTCTTTATAAAAATGATAAGTGAATGAAGTTGAATTAATTATTTAATAAATAAGTCTTAATCAAACAATTAAAATTTTTGAATTACCTATTAGACCATTTTGTGAGGATCCAAATGAGGTCCTAAATTGCAGAATTCTTATGTTTAAATTATAATGATAGACTAAATATGAGAGAGAGAGGAAAAATCCCTTAATCTAAACAACACGGCACAAAATGTAAATGACAAGTCCTGGATGACTCCAACATGTGTTAAACGATCTGTCAAAGTCAAAATGAAAAGTTATAATTCTGACACAAGTGCTCATAAACAGGTAGAACTCTGACTCAAGCACTCATAAATAATGAATCTAGGGAAACCATTTCGGAAAAGGGAGAAGATTTAAGAGATAGAAAACATGTTATTCTTTTGTGTAACAAGGTGTGAAATTTCACACGTGCAGTCTACATTGTTTACAAACTGATTGACCTTGAGAACAGATGGAGTCCGCTTTCCCGGGTAGTTTTCATGTATGCTTTAGGGGAATATTGGTCTAAAGCAGGAGGGAAGCTATTACTGCATCTGTTCAAATATAACACAATATTGTCGATTTTAATGCTATTAAATTACGAGGGAACCGAAAAAAAGGTATGGGGAAAATATTCTACTGAACAAAAAACAAAAAAAAAAAAACCTGCTGATGTCATAAAAAACATCCAATAGCATTTAAAAAAAATTTACTGAAGTCAAATCGGTGAAATATAAGTTTAGAACAATTTAATTTGATTAAAAAACTCCCATAAAAAAACAATAGTGCGATTAATTACCTAATTAATAAATTATCATAAAATATTTTTGCGGCAAAAATAATTCATGAAATTTGCACAGATCATAGATAACGATGTATATATGCTGATCCATACATTTTTGAAAAATTTATAAGTCAAGGCTTTTTTAATGGCTCCTTAAAGTCCATGCCCGAGTTAATTCGGGATATGGACTGCGCAGTTGCACACGCAGCCTGAGTTAACTCGCGATATGGGTGGAAAGGGTTAAGACCAATACCAGCTTTTTGAAACCATCAAATGTGTGGACTTATCCATTCTCCATACGGAGTCCGACACTAATAACCACTATTGTCATCATCGTAGCTACTCTCGTGATTGTTTGGAGCTGTCGCAAACGATCAAGTTGTCTAAGAAAATGAAGACCAGATATCACATATCCCTTTCCCCATCAAGAAAAACAAGTGGAATCTGCTCCCATGTAGATGATTGAATTGATACCAGTAACTGTAGAGATGAATCTGCCTTCGAGGACTGTAGAGATGTTAGAAGTCAATTAATCAATGTTGATGAGACCCAAGTGGGAAGAGTCTGTCACACTTCCTGTCAGGGTCGAAACTATTCCTACTCAAATGAGACATTTATAAAGTTATGAGGTAGAATCTGTACCTCCTTAGCAATAATCTGATGTACAGTTTCACTGGAGAAATGACTGAGACTCAACTATCTTTCTTTTCCTCTTTTTAGAAACAACCATGGAAGAACAGACTGCAACTACTTCCACAGAGGCAACGAACACCAGATGAGGAGCCACTCAACATTCCTTTTCGGATCCTGCACTGGTCATCCTTTTTGAGTGTCCAGTGTGTTATGAACATATGTCACCCCCGATGTTTCAGTGTCTGGCAGGTCATATGATCTGTTCCTGATGCAAAGAGCTAGTACAGTGGTGTCCGACTTACCGTGGGGAAATGGGTAATAATTGAGACGTTTCCCTGGGGAAATTGGCCAAAATCATGGCTATACCCTGCAAGAACAGGGACAACAGGTGCAAGGAATCTCATATCCAAAAAGAGTGAGGAGCTCACTAGAGAAGCTGTCCCTTCAAAATCTGTTCATGTCCTGCTATGGACAATTTCTGTGCATTGGAAGGGAGGCACCAGCAAGTAGTCCCTCATATGATGGAAACTCTCCCTAACTCCACCTAAATCATGATGCTGCCCGAATGCTGATAATTGGACTAGATTTGATTCAACCTTTAACTTGGCTCACATGAATACATTGCTACAAATGAGACTTTTTCATCCAAATTATATAAAAACTGAGAATGTACAAAATTCTTACCTTCTTTATATTGTTGTCAGAAATGTCTGAACTCATCACGTTGCAAATCATTTCAAGGGGAAAATCGAAATTAGGGGAAAGGGCAGACTCGTGGTGTGGGAATCAATCCTGAGAAGCATAACAGTTGATGTCAAAAGAATCACCTGATCCGGTGACTGCCTAATCCTGCATTCAAAAATGTTAGAGAAAATGCTTGAAAATTTGATCCTGTCAGTCGTGGTAACTATCCAGCACAGGAAAAACTAGAGTCCCTTGGAAGGGACAGAGCAGGATAGCAAACAGTAATAACTCAAATCGGTCTTAGAAATCCTTCTCTCCTAGAAATATTGTGAATGCGGATATATCTGTCGAATATTTAATGCGGCTAAATTGTGTCGCTCGTATAGAACATAAATCCTTGAACTTGGGTATGAACTCTTGCATATTAACATTCACTTTTCTTTGTCTTGTCAGACAAACTGATGGAGGAGTCAACAGAACGCTGGAATCTAGATGACATCGATTTCGATGGAATATTCATTCATTCCAGCATCCAATGGGAGGACCTGAAGCATAAGGTAATTGCACTCTTCATCATGCTATTAGAAGGTTTGAGAGGTAGCAACACCCCAATACCTGGAGATAATTGTCCTCCCTCAGAAGGCAGAGGCCCCAGTGAATTGCAAGCAGAGGTGGATGAGATCAATGGGCTTGCCGAAAAACGAGCAATCCAAATTCAGAATGAGAGAAGACCAGGGGATTGCAATCAACGACAGTCAGACCAAACAGCAACCCAAGTGGCGGCTTGGATCAACCAGAAGTAACCTCCCAAACCACTAACAGACCTCAACTATCTCCACCGGTCAGAACAGAAGCCAATTTGCCTCGACCCCGACAGGGAGTGGGTCAGGGACAAGAAATCCTGGGTCTTACAGTGCTGTCAGGATAAGTACCGGGAATAAAATGCTTGCGGACGAGCAGGAAGTTGGAACTGCCTACAGTAGGAAGGGCCAGCCCTAGGCCCAGGGAGATAAAGATGAACCAACAAAGGCCTGAAGATGCCCAATGGGAGAAAATAAAAATCTTTGTATAATGGTTCCAAGTTCCTATTTTTGTATACTCATATATATATATTACATAATAACCTCAGCATTTTATATCCTATAATAATCCATTTAATATTTTTTTATACATACTCAAATAAACATATATTTACTCTATTCGTTCCTTTTCTAAATAAACCCATAACTTCACTCATGAACGTGCATAGCTGTGTAAACTTTTGAGTAAAGTTCAAAATACCATCACATACACCAAGTTAAAATTCAAAACTTATATATATATATTGAAAATAAACGTATGTACAGTTACAAAGGTTCACAAAACAAACATTTACAAAACGTTAATCGTAACAAAGTTAAACACATTTATCTGCTACAACAGGTCCGTCAAAAAGACACCTTGCGACGAACTATCTTTAAAGTCATTTACAGTCCAACGAGACGAGACAAGCTTCGGGGCAGCTTCGGCGAACTAAGACCAAACGTGAGTCCACAGTGAACTGAACTTCCCGCCACAACTCAATTCTTTTATAGGATTGAAGCAGAATTGGATTCCACCAATCAGAACTTAGCAGCTCTACAAGACGTCCGCCGATGGCGTGATGTCGCTCAACCAATGAGCGGTTGAGTCTTCAAAAGTGGTCTGATCGCTGTTTCTATGGCGACAACTGTCGTTAGTCGAATGATTGGAAAAGCGCGGGAAAACCGTGTGCCAGACGATTTTTATCCCAACACCTCCACGGCCGAGGATCAAACAGTTTACTTAAGCCTGTTTGATTCCCTTCACAACACCAAACAACCTTACAAAAATCGTCCGATATCGGACTGACCCATACATCCGGAACATCCAGGAATTTCACCCATCTACGCGCAGAGATGCCTTTGTTACTGCGTAGTTCCCCTTCCGGTGTCCGACCCGACTAACAAAACCCTGTTTACTAATATACTATCACTGCACATCGGGTTGTATATAATACAATAAATCTGACTTACGGAACCTTTAACCGATGTGTATCACTTTTTCTTTCAAAAATCAAACGTTTTCATAACCCCTTCTGGGTTCTTCATCAGGATAACAGCTGGATCGAATAGCGATTTCAAAAAGTTTTAATGATTCCGAACTTGAATCGTTCCATTCGCTTAATCCGTCACATGATGTAATTGAAATTGTTCTATTTTGACGGTCGATGTTCAAATTTAAGAGAACTATGCAAAACATGTTATTGAGATATAAAGATTATTTAATATTCTCGTGTTCCCTAATATCATTTATTTTTAAGGCTTAATATAATTTCGTTATCACTCTTTATGGAGTAGTTTTTGCCACGCCATGGAAAGGCTGATCTCTTCTCTTGAATTAATACACTCGGATTTGTCATACGCCCTAAAAATTTCCATCTCTTCTAGCCATTTTAGTTGGTGAATATGTGGTGTGGAGGCAATTATCCGTGCTGCATTGAAGTCCGCCACTATTTCGGGATCAGTGGCATATGTGGAGAGTGAGGTTGTGTGCCTGTTGTGCTGTATATCCGAAATATGTTCTTTTAATCTAACCTCTAACGAGCGTTTAGTTGATCCCACATATACCAGATCTCTGTTGAACCTGTTATCCCTTATAGGAATTTTATATACTCCTGATATCCTCTCCATCCTGGATCCGTCTTTTTCATTACGTAGGATGTCAAACAAGGTGCTGCATCTTCTGTATGCTATGTTAACATTTCTTTGTTTAGCAATGGTGTTGTACAGGGACTTCAATAGCGGGTTGAACTTAATGGGTATCCTCCTATTTTCTATATTATTGCTTGTGTTTTGCGTGTT